ATTTCAGGTATTTCAGTTGTATGGCATATATTTTCTTCTATGTACATAGTTCCTACCTGCAATGGTCTGGATTTTTGAGATTGTATTTTGGCATTTTGTTTTGACATTTGTGTATATTTCTCTGTTGTTTCAAGTCTTTCCCTGGGCATGTTGCAAATTGTCTTCTATGCCCTCAGCTACTGAGACATAGGCTGCCCAGTTCCCTGGATTGAGTTAGGGTCACTCAGGATGGGGCAGACAGACCCAACACCTGTGGAGCTGGTCGGATGTGGTAGGAAGCTGGCAAGTTTCTTGGCCATTGAGAACAATGATGTTAAACTCCAGGGCTTGAGATGGTGCAGGGACACTAACCTCTTGCCACCCAGTTTCCAGAATTGAGTGAAATCTTAATTTTTCTAAACTGTTTTGCAAGTGTTATATGAAAGTTGATTATTTGCAAATTTTGAAATCGTGCTACAGTAAACAGCACTAACTGATGTGAAATGTTAGAATTAATCAACAAAATTAGAGAAAATGTATAGATGAAATCTACTTCTCAGGGTCATTTAGCCTTAAATGTTAAATTAGATACATATAAAATTGAGTGTAATAAATGAACACTGTAGATAAAATTTAATAAAATTCATTTTCTATGACATCATTTCTTTAGTAATTTTTTCATTTATGTTTGTCAAGTTTGAGAATACGTAGGATATCATTGTACCAAATATACCAGAGAATGTACCTGCCCCACTCTGCTTTTGATATCAGTGCCTTTTGAATGACTGAGTTCATAAGTTACTCCATTTTATATTTCTCTCAATTTAATTACTCTCATTGTAATTTCAAAATTTCCTTCCTGCCAACCATCAGAATTGCAGTATTGTTTATGAAGACTGTAAAATATGTTGTGCTTGATCATTAGCACATGAATATATAATTGACTGCACAGTATGTCAAAGATATTCAATAGTGCATTTATGTTAGACATTAAACTGATTATGATGATTAGCCAAGTGGAGCTAGGATAATGAGCAGTATGAAGTTATGTTTTATTTTGATACAATACTTATATTTGTGGTAGTTTCATAGATTTTTTTTTTGTCTTTTCCTTTTTATCGGTACCAGGGATCGAACTCATGACTGCCTGCTTACAAGGCAGGCACTTATGCTGCTGAGCTAAATCCCCAGCCCCAGTTTCATAGGTTTTATTGCAGCACATTTAACAGTGATTCACATAAAATTAAACAGCACAAATGATATCATCAATATAATTAAGTAAAATGTAAAAAGAACTTCAATGAAATTAAACCATCATGTTCTTACCTCAAACCCTTTGAATAGCTGGATGATGTAGCACATATCTGTAGACTCAGCTATCTGGATAGGAAGAACTGAGGAAGGAGTTTTTTTTTTTTTTAAATTTTATTTAAAAGGTAAAACAGAAAAAACAAAATAAAACAAAGTGGTGTAAGGGTACAAGTAATACAGAACTACAACAACAACAATAACAACAACAACAACAAAAAAAAAAGCAGTAAGAAATCACCAGTTAATAGATTACACATTATCGTCTTAGAGATAGTTGCTCAAGTCACAGTATCAAAGTATACAAAGTGAACATTCAAACAGAAAGACTGCAAACAGTTGTGTTCAATGATCCAACCAAAAACATTAATATGGTCAGCTATTTAACACCCCTAAACACGGAAGGAGGTTTTCTTGAGCCCAGATGTTCCATGTTAGCCTAAGCAACATATGGAGATTATAATTTTTGTGGCCTGAACTTTATTAATTTGCATATACAAGAGACCTATCTCCCTCACCTACTTACTTTTTAAAATTATCCTTACCATGGATTATAAAAAAGCTTACATTTTTAGTTTTTAAAAAATTGGAAACCCTTATTGTACTTCAGCCACAATTGTGTCTAAGTTTATCTGTTTCTTACTTAACTACTATTTATTACCAAAATTGGGTATCACTGAAGTTGCAGCAGCACAACTGGAATTGGTAGAATTTTTAAATTATTTGTGTCTGCTTTCAATCTTCTTAACCTATAAATTTCCAAAATAACTTGAATCTACAGTAGTAATTACTTGAAAGGGAAGGAAAGGAGCAAGAATTCCAATATAATCTTATTTGATCATAAGACAGAGAAAACACAGAGTCAAGAGGATGTATGTTCTAGTCATACTTTCTCTGAATATCTGAGTCTAATTTATTATGTTTCTGTAAAACTAAGTGGTGCCTGTTTAGTAACTACATGTCTTAATAACTTTTCATTGCTGGAATGCAATAGAAGACATCCACAATTCATAGAAGAAAAGATTAATTTTAAGGCTTACATTTTGAAGAGGTTTCAATCTATATTCTACTGGCTCCAAGGAAGGGAGGCACAGCAGAGGAGTAAGAGCTCATGGCATGGCATGCAGGAAACAGAGAGCAATCAAGAAAATGGGAAGGATTTATACCTCTAGGTCATGCCCCTACTGACACTTCTTCTCCCTGTTACCCAACATACACCCATCAGTGGATTAACTCAGTATTACACACCCATGATCCAGTATCACATACCCATGATCAGGTCGCCTTCTCTAAGCCCCACCTACAAACACATGAGGCTTTGGGGTGATGTCTAGTATAAGTTATAAAATTAGGGATTAGATACATGTTTTATTTTGGCAACATGTGTGTTAACTTATGCTTTAGAAATTACTGTATTTTATCCTTGGTTATAATATTTCTGTAATTTTAAGGAATTAAATGTGTTTCATTTAATGATGGCAATAAAGACAGAGTAGAACAGATTTAAGATACATTGAAAGGAGACTCTGAAATTAGGTCACTGTCTTAATTCTGGTTCCTTATTTATTTAGATACTTCAACAATCATGCAATTCTTGTGTAATATCTAAAGATAATAATACAGTATAGTTACAATCCCAGTTATCACTATCTCATGTTTATTTATGTTTATGATATTGTGATATTTAAAAAATCACACAGAGGATGTAATTTTGTAAAAATTTCCTAGATTTACACTTTATAGGACATACACACATATGTGTATATAATATATGTAGGAGATACACACACACACACACACACACACATATATATATATATATATATATATATACACATATATACTTTATGTATTATTTACACATGTGGGAGTATTAAGTGTCAACAAAGCATTTTTATTCTCAGGATAATAACACTGTAAAACCAGTAATTCACCAGACATAATCGTATGCAAAATTTTCTAATGATTAGTCTTAGTGCTATTCATTGAATAGTGATGCTAAAAGTACAATACTAAAGGCAAGTCTTGGTGTTATTCATGAGGATAAAAAATGTCTTTATCATTTGTATTTGTCACTGTAATACCTAAAATATTTTATAAATAATACCAACTAATTGATCAACATAAAAGAGTTATTAGACCTATACTATATATTTTTGAAAGTCTGTGATCATAAATTATAAAATGAATAGTTTAAATTTTAACTTATATCTTGGTTCTATTCATAATGTAAATTAATTTTTCAGTGCCTTTATATATTCTATTACTGATTACAAACAGGAAGATATTTTTCATGTTGTTCCACTCAACACTTTAATAAATATAATTTTGAAAATGTAAATACATGACTATGAAGAGACAAAAGGTAACATATCACCTTGTTTGGCATAATCACAATATGTATAGCAATTTATTTTGCATCAGAAATCCTGTTTCAGCACAATTATAAGAACTTTATCAATGTTGTTAATCACCAGTTAATAACAAGACTTTTCTTAATTAGATAGCTACATGCATTAATACTTTTTGATAATGGAAATTTAAGAAATCATTTGTTCATCAATGTTTTAAAATTACTGAATATCTTGATACCTATGCTAACCATAAATAATAATAAAAATATCTGAAAGAATTTAGTGCAATGTGAGAAAATTTCAATTTCTGTGTACATAACACATTATCTACCAGTAACTATCAGAGACATATCGGGAAATTTTATGATACTAGGGATTAAAACATATTTAAAGACATATTGAGACTAATTAAGCAATCAACATGAGAATCAGAATGGCAAATAATGAACAGAAATGGAAGAAAACATTTGCAGATTATAAGAAAAATCTTTATTGAATTTTTAACTATAGTTGGGGAAATGGAATGAAAAGGACAACTTCAGTGAGTGAAAAATAATAAGCAAGTGGGAAAACCTCAAAATTTTAGAATGTTTTTCACTCATCACTGAAAAAAAATGTTTCAAACTGTTTAGTTCTATCTTTTTAAACATTATTTATCATTAATTAAAAAGCAATAATTGTGTTCATTTATGGGATACAACAGGATATCTTATCTTGGTTTACATTATAGGATTCAATCAAGAAATTAATATACCTGTTATATTACCAATTTATTTATGTAGGACTTTTAGAAACCTATTCTTTTAGCAATTTTGAAATATACACACCTACATCTTTCTTATTTATAAGTTTAGTAAAATTTTTTGCAGTTTGGAAGCTCATTTCAATTCTCATTTCATTACAAATTCTCATTTGTAGTTGCAAAATGTCAATTTTCCATGGGTTGTGGCTTGCCATTCATAAACAAATTCTCAAAATTGTGATATATTCTAGTCCAATATCTCCATTGATTACTTGGATGTTTTCTACTAAATGTATAAATATAAATCCAAAGAGAGATCCAAAATATCTGACTAAAGGCATTGTTTCAGAGGTACTCAGAGAGTACTTACTGAAGGCACAGATACCCTATAGGGGGGAGAGTCATACACCTTGAATTGGACAATTCTTAAGGATTTTTGAATCTCTGTTCATTAGGGAGATTGGTCTATAATTATCTTTTTGGTTGGGTCATTCTCTGGATTTGGTATTAGGGTAATACTTGCTTCCAGGAATAAGTTATGAAGAACATCTTTCTTTTCTATTCCATTGAAGAGTTTGAAGAATGTTGAAACTAACTCTTTCAAAAATTTCTTGTAGAATTCAGCAGTGAATTCATCAGGACCTGGGCTTTTCTTTATTGGTAAGGTTCTAATTATATTTTCAGTGTCATTAACTGAAATTGGGTAATTCAGCTATTTTATGTCTTCTTGATCCAGCTTTGATAATTCCTATGCTTCTAGAAATCTGTCCATTTCTCCTGTGTTATCAAACTATGAGAGTAAGGGTTTTTGAGATGGTATTGATGATCTTCTGTATTTCTACAGGGTCTCTAGTAATTTCACCTTTTTACATTCATCTTGCATGTAATTGAGTTTTTTTCTTTCCTTTTTTAGATAAAATTGGCTATGACTGTATCAATTTTATTTATTTTTTCAGAGAATCAACTCTTTGATTCATTATTTTTTATCATTTTCTTAATCTCAATTTCGTTAACTTGTGCTCTGATCTTTATAATTTCCTTCCTATTTCGGCTTTGGACTTGACTTGTTCTTTTTCTAGAAGCTTGAGGTGCAGCATTAGGTGTTTTATTTGTGTTTGCTTTATTTTCATGATATGGGAATTCAGCATTATATATTTGCCTCTGAGGACTGCTTTCATTTTGCTTTCCCCCTTCTAGGCATTTTCCAAGGAGAATTAAAACATCATTACCAAAGTGATATATATGCCCCCATGTTTATAGCAACACATTGTGTAATAGTCAAATATTGGAAACAACCCAAGTGCACGTCAATTGAGGAACGGATAAAAAGATGTGGCATTTTAAAAAATGGAGTAGTACTCAGCTATAAAGGAGGATCACATAGGGGCTTTTGTAGGTAAGTGGATGTGACTTAAGATCACAATAGTAAGTGAAATAAATCAAACTCACATGTGTAAATACTGGAGTCTTAGTGTAAGAAACTTAAAGAGCAACTATGATCCAAAATCTAAAATAAATATTGTGTAAGCATAAGAAACTGCTCAAAGAGGAAAAGTAACTGGGATAGGGGAAAGAGGAAATAAGGATACAAAATGAAGAAAGTTATAAATTTGTATAAAAATACATAAAATGGCTAAGATGATCTACTACTGATGTTACTAGTTCTGGGAAAAAAGAACTTAATTCTCATATGATTAGGTCAATTTTTCATGTCTATATCTGGTAACCAAGGCAACTCTTTTGAAGGTAGCCTTATACAATATCACAATCATTGTCAAATCCTTATCATTTTGTTTCAAACAACTATACTGTTATTAGTTTTGGTTTAATGTTGTTGTTTGTTCATCTCTTCTGCTTTTTGTTGTTCATTCCTATGTCTTTTTCTCTTAAATTTATAAAAAAAAGAAAATTAATTGGAAAAACAAGACATATGTAGATCATAACTTTGAATTGGATCACAGGAAGGGTAAAAAGAAACCACCATATTGCTTTGGCCCCACCCTTCTGGAAACAGCCATTATAGGAAGTTCAAAATAACTTATGGGAGGGAATGAATAATTCATGAGTCTTTGGGGCTTGGACAGCTAGGTAGAACGCATCACATACCCTTTATCCTTATCATCTCTCCTGCAAACATGAGATTTTTGCAGCTATGTGATATCTTTACTGATATTCAACAAGGACATGAACATTCCCAGCACACTTACAGAGAGAGAGAATAAATGGGTGAACAGGGTCTGTGGATCTGCCTTCAGAGCCCTGCTTCACAGTAAATCTCAATTACCTCAGTTACATGCCAGCACACCTTCCTCTTTAGACCATGTGTGGGTATGTAAACATGCTTTCTGAAATCCCAAGGACCCACAGTGGAGCACAAGTTATGTACACCTGCAACTCCACTGTCCTGAAATGAATCCTCTCAAAATTCCACAACCATGCCTGTGTGTTGGGAGGAGAGTTCCTAAACCATATTCACTGATAGCATCAGATTCTGATTGAGGGTTAATGGAGAGTATTCATAAGGCTGTTTTTTGGGCTTTTGAGTGAAGGGAACAGTAGTGAAAGTGGTTCATTTGCTTGCAATCAGACTTCAATCAAAGCCAGATGGGTACAGGCTTTTATGAAAAGTGGGCATATGTAAACTGCATGTACATTCTCTAATTGGAGTATTTTATCTGAGTTACCACTGGATGGATACGTGTGTGTGTGTGTGTGTGTGTGTGTGTGTGTGTGTGCGTGCATGTGTGTGTGTGTGTGTATTGCTTTGAATTAGTTGGCATTCATGTTATGCTTCTTTCATTTCCTTATCTAGTGATTCACTTCTGCTACAATAACATTTTCATAGTTTTGCTTGTTGTATTCACTTACTTTATTCTTTTCTTAAAATGTTTACTTCAACATATTCTGCCCTCTCTGTCATTCCTGTCTTCACATGTACTAAGACTCTGTCCTCTCTGTTTTATTTCTTTGCTATTTTTTATCTTACTTAGACACTTGTCTTCCCTTGCTTCTTTTATACTTTATAGATTCAACAATTTGTCAACAGGTTCTGACAATCGCACAGGTTTTCTCATTCCCAAAATACACCTCCTGCTATATCTTGTCTTGGCCTCCCACAATAGCTTCTTAAAACTCTCAGTAGTAACCTTCAATCTGACTAAAAGTCTTTGAGCAGAAAATGATCCCATATCTATTTTGTCACCTATCATTATTCCTCCTAACATTCTTTCTTCCAAGTGAGTTACATTCCTTTTATACTCATCCCTAAATCTCTTCTTTTCATTTTTCCTTCTACATTTCAGAATAAAGTTTAATATAGCCTGCAGAGTATCAATAAATGTTGAAAATGTAAATATAAGATTGCTAACTTATAAGCTATATGTGATTGCATATATTGATGTTGTTTTAAACAGAAATAATGATCTCCCCAAAATATAGTGGCAAAGTCCAAATCACTTATATAGCTGCAGAAGTAAATACTGTCTCAACAAATAAAGCTGAAAACATATCACAAGAAAGCAGTATCTTACTATAATGATCTTTAGATAGATCACAGTCTCCACCATCATAATTGACCTCAGTCCTCATCATCAAAAAAAGAGTGAAAAAGAAAACAATAAATATCTCTACCTACTCAGAAACATGGAAAAACAAAGCAACAAATGACCCTCAATTTATCCCAACTTTTTCACAGATGATAAAGAGAACTCCATTGGAGAAGAAAGAAAATTGAAGTTAATAAAGGGTTTTCAACTGATTAAACAAGAATTAAAGAAACTTGATAAGGTAAAGGGGAACATGAGCAAATGTTCATGAAATAAATTAAACAAAATGATTAATGTGGGCTTGGGCATAGAGTGGAAAATCTCACTAAAATATTTCAAAACATGAGTGAACAATTTACCAAAATTATAGAATCCATTAAAAGGTATCAGGCAGAAATACAAGACTTAAAAATTCTGTAAGATTCATACAATTCCAAAATGACTAACATGAAGATAAGTTTTCTGAAATTGAGGACAGAATGATAAATTACACTGAATTGCTCAAAGAAGTCTACTAAAGGATAAGAAAACAAGAAAAATTCATTCAACTGCTAATGGATGATACTAAGAAGATCAACTTAAGGATAAATGGAGTTGGAGAGAAACTAGAAGAAGGAATATATATATATATATATATATATATATATATATTTGTTGGCATAAATGATCACAGAAAACTTCCCAGATTATTGAAAAGATTACAACATACAAGTAAATGAGGTGCACAGAAAATCAGCCAACTACAATGAAAAAGAAAGCTACACATGATACATTGAAATTAAGAAGACAAAGGTCCAAGAATAAAGCATCTTAAAAACTTTCAAAGAAAAACAAAAGATCACATAGAAAGGCAATTAAAAAAACTTACACAGACTGTTCAACACAGAATTTAAAGGTCAGAGAGCTCAGAATAAAGTACTTATTTTATAAAATTATTATTTATTGATATACATCACAGATAAACATAATGCATGCAGTCATCATGGGAAACTTGTGCCTGTACGTGGTATACCTTGATTCTGCTTTTGATCTTAATTCAATTCAATCACATCTTCCTTTTGTCAATTACAAATGCTTTGTTTCTGTTTTTGCTTCTTTTTTCATTTTTTCCCTCGCTATGCTGCTCTACTCTTTCTAGTTCTCCTTCCCGTTTGAATATTTTCTTACTGTTTCACAAAATGTAATCTACATTTTGGACCTATGTTCACTTTTGCTTCCTCTCACCAGGGAAACCATATAATATTTATACACACATGACTGATTTATTGCAGTTGAGTATGCTATGAAACTGCATTCATTTAAGCAGAAATGTCTCAAGTTTTTCTTTCTTTCAGGCTGAGTATTACACCACTGTATTAAAGAAAATCCACACCTTTTGTTATCCATTCATCATTTGATGCTTATTTGGGCTGTTTCCAAGATTATGCTATTACCAGATGTGGCTATATATATATATATATATATACCCCACAATATATATGATTTTAATGCTTTTATGAGGATAACAACAAGGAGTAAAGCTGAGCGTTGCTGACTTAAAGGTTTGGGTTGAGAAATGTGTTGCTATTGTGATGGACTTTCCTTTGTAGGTGATTTGTTACTTTTATCTAACAGATTTTATCAGGAACACAGCCAGGAGTCCTGATTGTCAGTCTCCAGCATGTGTCAAAAATAAAAATTAAAAATCAGAGACATGTATCACATTCCAACAATGACTGGGAAAACAATGTTTCTGGATCCTACCTATTCACTACAAAAGCACCACCATTTATAAGCTGTATACAGTGATAGGTGTGGCTAGCAAAGCATTATAATTCATACAAAGACTCCGACTCTAGAGGGCGTAGATAATTTTAAATTTAGAAGTAACTTGACCCAGAGTATAATCCTGTGATGATTTAAGAAGGAGTAGATGATCTTATGCTTTGAAGTATCTTGTCTATGAGTATAATTCCAAGATGATTTAAGAAGATATAAATTATCTTATGCTTAGAAGAATCAATGGGAACTCTCAGAAGGGTGACACCAATAATTCCAATTCTTCCTTTTATACCATAGGGAAATACACAAAACCAGTCACTGTGAATTTGTAGTCACCTACATATCCTCCTTTGTGTTTTTATACTTGAAGCAATTAAAACAGCCTATATGATATTCATCTTTTGTAAGTACTTTTCTACTGGGTGTTTAAGACCAAGATAAAGTGAGACCTGTATTAATAAAATTCAACTTCATTGGTTAAAGTTGGTTAAATGTCCTTAGGAATTACCTTAGAACCACACATAGCATGTCTTACTGCATCACTCATTGTCAACCATTTGGATAACTCATGGTCATTGCTTGGCCAAATTGCTTCTCATGAAAGCTTGTGAGACTGTTATCTTCTGGTGAAACTGCTTAGGAAAACTACTCTGATGATCACTCTCCTCTATGGCCCCATAATCTCCTTTATCAGAAGATCCGGGACTCTCCAAATATAGGATGTTGCAGCAGAGGTTCTCATGTCCTGAGTTCTCATTGACTTTAGAAGGCTAGGGCCAAAATAATGGCTTTCATCTTAGCCTGTCAGTCTCCCTAGGTTCTGGTCTCCAAATTTCAGTTATTGAACACCCAAAAGAAAAAAAATGATATTACTATGTAATAAGGCTGTAAACTAAACATTACTACTTATATGTATATCAGATAATATTTAGAACATAAACTAGAACCATTATTTTTCATCAGCCATCAACCATGGATGTCATAGCATTGAACTATCCATAGAATGTTAACAGTTTCATGTTTTACACAGAAAATCGGAAATCAAAACTATACCTATTATTGTATTATAACAATTATAACATTTTTGCAATAATCTGAATTTCCATTTTGACATAAAATACATTTTAGTCAATTATCACTTGTAATATGTAAGAAGTTTTATCTGATTTACTGACCTTTAGTGGAATGAGAATCTCATAAGATTTTTGTATTGGTATAAGTCTGTATACAAAACAAAATCCTATTAACATAAATAATCAAAGATTTAAAGTTTTAGAGACCTGTTCATTTTGAGAAATGAATACATTTAACACATGATTAGGTTGGAAATGATTAATTATCATAGTTACATGAAAACCTTTGTATCAATGCATCCTTAAGTAAGAATCTTATTGTCTAGAAAATTTAATCTTTTTTTTTTTTTTACCAGTACCAGAGACTCACGACTGTGAACTCACGACTGTGCACTTGCAAGGCAGGCACTTATGCCGCTGAGCTAAATCCCCAGTCCCAAAATTTAATCTTTTAACAATGACCAATATGAGCATATCGCAATAATATATTTTAAAGAAAATTTATTGGATTGCTTCCATAAGGCTAGAGAGATTACTGGAGCTCCCTATTAACGAACAAGATCTGGAGAAATTTCTCCAGCCAGCTGCTTCCTTATTCATCAAGTGGAATCCTGTCCAATAGTTCCCCTAAGCCTGAAAGGTCCCTCACAAAATTTAAAATAAATAAAAAAGGAAAAAGATTTTTTGAGCTCAATTATAATAGCTGTTTAGAGAATAGACAGACAAAACAAAGACACACAAAACAGCTTATAAAATCAGAGTACACACAAATATATTTGGCCAATTTGAATAATGATGACTCACAGTTTTCATATCTTTAAGTATAACTAGACTAATGAGCATATTTTTGTAAGTCTATTAACTGTGATCTCTTGTAATAAGAGTTAAAAGAAGTATAGTAATTTTATGTGGGCTCCAAGCTGATGGTCTGATTGAAATTTCCAGCTATACAGGTTACTCACTGTTGTTTTGACAGCAATATTTTTAGGATATTTGATGGCAATATTTTTAGTCATATTTGATGGCAAAAACAGTTGTTTCAATAGTCATATGTAACTGTTCCTGCTAATGAGATAGATTGTTAAAGGCAATTTTAAACATGTCTAGGTGGTGAACACTGCAGCATGTAGGAAAGCACGCATTGCAAAAAAAAAAAAAATTCAGCTTGTTAATTAGGTGAAAAATATGATGTCCCTGGGCAGTAGACAATATGCTTTGAGATTCATTGTTTGCATTCTTGGTATAGGCTTCAATGTTTTGCACAGGTGGTTTGAATTCTGATCAAAATATAGTTCTGATGTATGACAGGGAGTTCTCTTATATCTGGTAAGATAGGGATTCCTGATGCTTAGGTGCTAGGAGGTGTGAACCAGTGGATTGGTGTCACTATGTTTTTGAGAGTTATGCTTAAGATAACTCTGTCAAGCTGGCCAGTCCATGGGCAAATGCACTGGGACAGAATCTATGTTTTTCTATCTCCTGTGATAATATATGCAGATCCTCTTCCCCAATTTATAGTGATGCCATACCTTTCCAAACACCTGTTTGGAGGTCCCTCCAAACTACAGGGGCTAAAGATCTCTGAGAGTGGGTGATTCTTGTGCCTGATGTAACATGGCTGGTGGAAAATCTGAATTAGAAGCAGGATTCAGAAATTTTGCAACATGTGAACTAAAATTTAAACAAATTTGAAGAGAGTTCTGACCTTGTATTCCTCTTTCCTTTTGTTTAGCTTGTTGATAAATTTAAGATGAATGTTCTCAATTATTGCCTGACCTTGGGGATTATAAGGGAACTCTACAATATGCTTTATATTCTAGTTATCAAGAAAACTCTGAAAATGTCTGCTAATATAAGCAGGACCATTATCAGTTTTTATTTTCTGTGGCATTCCTAATGCAGCAGATGCTGACACACAACAAAATGCTCTTTGATATGTTCACTTCATTTACCTGAAAGACAGGTGGCATGGATGATATGTAAGAAGGTATCTATAGTGACATGAATATACTTAATTATGTTAAAAGAGGCTAAAAGGATAATATCCATTCATTATAAATGATGACTTCTAAGACCTCTAGGATTTTATCCCTGTTGAGGAACAGGCCTTGGAATGAGTAGGGGGAAGGACATGACATCACTCTCTGTCTAGCTTGAGTTGTAGTAATTTTAAATTCCTTTTCAGAGTTCTAGAATTTTGATGAAAAAACTCATGGGATTGCCTTGCTTTCTCAAAAATGGAAATTAGGCTGACAAGAGCATCCACCTTATGATTTTCCCATGATAATGGATCAGGAAGGTTAGAATGGACCATAATATGATCAATAAATAATGAGGCAGTTTTGTTAACTGTCTGTAGTTTTTAAAATAGTTGTTATAAAGTTGGCTCAATGATAGAATAAAGAGA